AACTTGGTGTGGCCTTCAGATTAGCACAACAACAGTGTGTAGAGAGCTTCATGGAATGGGTTTCCATGGCCGAGCAGCTGCATCCAAGCCTTACATCACCAAGTGCAATGCAAAGCGTTGAATGCCGTGGTGTAAAGCACACCGCCACTGGACTCTAGAGCAGTGGAGACGTGTTCTCTGGAGTGACCAATCACGCTTCTCTGTCTGGCAATCTGATGGACATGTCTGGGTTTGGCGGTTGCCAGGAGAACGGTACTTGCCTGACTGCATTGTGCCAAGTGTAAAGTTTTGTGGAGGGGGGATTATGGTGTGGGGTTGTTTCTCAGGGGTTGGGCTTGGCCCCCTAGTTCCAGTGAAGGGAACTCTTAAAGGCGTCAGCATACTAAGACATTTTGGACAATTTCATGCTCCCAACTTTGTGGGAAGAGTTTGGGGATGGCCCCTTCCTGTTCCAACATGACTGCACACCAGTGCACAAAGCAAGGTCCATAAAGACATGGAGGAGCCAGTTTGGGGTGGAGGAACTTGACTGTCCTGCACAGAGTCCTGACCTCAACCCCATAGAACACCTTTGGGATGAATTATAGTGGAGACTGTGAGCCAGGCCTCCTCCCCCGACATCAGTGCCTGACCTCACAAATGTGCTTCTGGAAGAATGGTCCAACCTTCCCATAGACACCCTCCTAAACCTTGTGGACGGCCTTCCCAGAAGAGTTGAAGCTTTTATAGCTGCAAAGGGCGGGGCCAACTCAATATTGAACCCTACGGACTAAGACTGGGGGGCCATTAAAGGTCATGTGTGTGGAAAGGGCGGGGCCAACTCAATATTGAACCCTACGGACTAAGACTGGGGGGCCATTAAAGGTCATGTGTGTGGAAAGGCAGGAGACCAATACTTCTGGCAATATAGTGTATATTAAGTTATAGGAGATGTTTCTCGAGGGCTGCAGTTCCTCTGAGCTCCGCAAGATGGTGAACTCACGTTCTACCCAGACAGGAAGTGATGTCAGGTACAGACAGGAAGTGATGGCAAGTAGAGACAGGAAGTTCCGGGTGAGAGGTGAGTTGGGAGGAAGTAGAGAGGAGACGTTGGTGGAAGTGGCAGCAGAGGAGGTAATAAGATGTTATGTTCTATTTACACCCAGTAACCCCCCTGTCATGTCCGTCCTCTTCCCCATAGTCACGTCTGTCCTCTTCCTCCATAGTCACTGTGACGTCTTTTATCTCCAGCAGATGATGATACATATATAGTGTGGGAACCCAGATTAACCCCTTCAAGGTCAGAACCTTTTCTTCTTTTTGGGGCTAGAATATTCTCATCATTTTGTAGAGCTTAGAGGAACACTTATTATTATTATTATTATACAGTATTTATATAGCGCCAAAAGGTTTGCTCAGCGCTGTACATTATAGTGGGGGACAGAACATGAGACAATACAGTAACAATACAATACACGAGGGGTTCAAGGGCCCTGCTCCTTGGAGCTTACAATCTAGGAGGGAGTGGAAGGTGATACAGGAGGAGATGGCTGTGGGGGATGGGGTGGTAGGAGGAGTGGAGGAGATCGGCTGTTAGGTGAGGGTGGGGTAGGCTTCCCTGAAGAAATGGGTTTTCAGGGTGTGCCTGAAGGTGAAGAGGGTAGGTGACAGTCTGATGGATTGGGGTGGAGAGTTCCAGAGGATGGGGGGAAGTCCTGCAGTCGGGCGTGGGAGGAGGAGACCAGGGAGCTAGAAAGTAGGAGGTCTTGTGAGGAGCGAACACTAAGATACAGGGATGCTCTTGGTCTACAATGGTCCTCCCACCTGCCCTTACATTTCAGACCTCCTTACAGAACTCCAGGGCAACCTTCACCTTCTTACCATCTCACTGGTCAAAAAAATATTCCAAGATATCAAGTGGAATGAAGAAGGGCACTCCTTTACCTGTTGGTGGGCACTCATCTTTAGAGGAGCATCATGTAATGTGTGGCTGGCTGGAGTGAACGCTATGCAACTGGGGGAGGTAGCCCAATGCCTTCCCATGGCTCTGGCAATGCCCGTGCTAGAATTCAGAGCCCCAGGAGCCCACTGCCACTCTGTACAATGTCCAGATACTCCGATATAGTTGGCATCCAGGCGTAGCACCCTCCTAGTTAGGTTGCCAGTCAGTTTTTGGCTCCTTTGTAGCCAGTGGAGCAGGTTTGATTGCTCCTGGCTGTTTTGGGTTCTGCTGGCTACAGTTTCAACTACTCCCCCCCCACATTCCAGTAAGTTCTGGAATATACTGAGTTGGGAGAGGCGGACCTCGAGCTGAATATTCATGCAGCCTTAGCCAATCCCTGGTCTAGAAGGTGACCAGCAAGAGGCTGAGGTGTGCATAAATAGTCTGGGGCCTAGAACATCAGGGTCCTTTGACCTAGTGGACAGAAACTCAGCCTCAAGGGGCTGTCTGCCCTCTTGGGCAATATATTTGAAGACTGTAGGAGGTTCATTGCAATCCACGCTCAGGTAGAACTGGTGGGGGCCGACTGATGAAGATGAGAGAACAGTCTGGAGGAAAGTCTGCTGAGGATCTGGCCCGGAGGCTCACATTACAAGGTCTGGCTGATACTGTAAGGAAGCATCCATGTATACAGGGACACAGTCAGTAGAGGCCTGAGAGAGGGATTGATCCTGGAGAGACTGTTTCTGTTTTTGTCCTCTTTTGTGAGAGACTGTTCTAGATTTACTAGATTAGGGCATTTTCCAGTGCGGGATCCCCCTGAGCGGATGTCCACATCATTTTTCACTAAAGGCCTGCCTAGGAGAGGGGAGTTTCTATTAGAGTGTCCTCAGGAAAGTTGCACTAGTTTTAAAGTATCCAAAGGCTCACACTATTCCCCATCCAAGTTCTTCAAACAATAAACACAAAAAAGAAACTTCTGCCTGGTTATTGTGTGGAGATATTGAAACTACTGTGTGCCTGACTGCTGTGCACCCTTTAGGGAATAAAAACCTGAGGACAGACAGGGGGAATCCCCTCAACCCTCGCCGTCCTCCTCCTACCCACACTGGGCTGGCTTTGGAGGCATGGGAACAGATTCCTCTTTACTCCGCTAGCAGCACCCTCCTTCTATCCAATCCTTTCTCTTACTGCAGAGAGTGACATTGACATAACTCCTGTCAGTCATTAGGGTTATTGGAGCCTTGAAGCTGGAGTTCTGGCAATTATCCTGATTAGCCAGCAACTCTGACCAAAAGAAAGCAAATTCCCTTTCCTGGACATCATGATGGCCCTAAATTGACCTCAGAGCAAACGAGTCAAAGGAAGGATTATATTTATCATTAATTGTCTGCAGATGTAAAAGTAAGCAAAACCAGTTCAGAAGTAAAACGAACCCAACAGAAAAAGGGAATTCTTGTTTCAGCAGGCCAAGAGGGTTCTGTAGCAAACACTAAACAGTCCAAACTAAATGTGTTCCATGAAGGCAGTAGTTCTTCAATGTCCAGCAACCCTCCTATTCCCCCCTCACATCCACATCTTCATCATGTGACCAATACCATCCAAATCATTCTTACTTTCATTTCCCAAAGTTATCCGTCTACAAGGAGACCTGTATAGATCACATGATGGCACCAATGAAGATGGAAGAGGACCGGAGTCACATGACTGAGAGGATACTAAACCTCACCCTGGAGATCATCTACCTGCTGACCGGAGAGGTGAGGAGGATTCTGGGAGGTCACATGACATCACTCTTATCTCTATTAATAAAACACAGACCTGACCGGAGAGGTGAGGAGGATTCTGGGAGGTCACATGACATCACTCTTATCTCTATTAATAAATTACAGACCTGACCGGAGAGGTGAGGAGGATTCTGGGAGGTCACATGACATCACTATTATCTCTATTAATAAAACACAGACCTGACCGGAGAGGTGAGGAGGATTCTGGGAGGTCACATGACATCACTCTTATCTCTATTAATAAAACACAGACCTGACCGGAGAGGTGAGGAGGATTCAGGGAGGTCACATGACATCACTCTTATCTCTATTAATAAATTACAGACCTGACCGGAGAGGTGAGGAGGATTCTGGGAGGTCACATGACATCACTATTATCTCTATTAATAAAACACAGACCTGACCGGAGAGGGTGAGGAGGATTCTGGGAGGTCACATGAAATCACATCTCTATTAATAAAACAGACCTGACCAGAGAGGTGAGGAGGATTCTGGGAGGTCACATGACATCACTCATCTCTATAAATAGAACACAGACCTGACCGGAGAGGTGAGGAGGATTCTGGGAGGTCACATGACATCACTCTTATCTCTATTAATAAAACACAGACCTGACCGGAGAGGTGATGAGGATTCTGGGAGGTCACATGACATCACTCTTATGTCTATTGATCAAACACAGATCTGACCGGAGAGGTGAGGAGGATTCTGGGAAGTCGCATGACATCACTCATATCTCTATTAATAAAACACAGACCTGACCGGAGAGGTGAGAGGTGAGAGGATTCTGGGAGGTCACATGACATCACTCTTATGTCTATTATCAAAACACAGATCTGACTGGAGAGGTGAGGAGGATTCTGGGAGCTCACATGACATCACTCTTATCTCTATTAATAAAACGCAGACCTGACCGGAGAGGTGAGGAGGATTCTGGGAGGTCACATGACATCACTCTCATCTCTATTAATAAAACGCAGACCTGACCGGAGAGGTGAGGAGGATTCTGGGAGGTCACATGACATCACTCTTATCTCTATTAATAAAACGCAGACCTGACCGGAGAGGTGAGGAGGATTCTGGGAGTCTAACATGATAATCCTATTGGTTCCTCAATACAGAGATTTCCTCTTCTGAAGTCAGGTGATCATATGACCATCACAGTGTCTCTATGTGACTCCCTGAAACCTGAGAGACACAACATGGAGAAGATTCTAGAAGTCACCAAGAAGATGATGGAGCTGCTGACAGGAGAGGTGAGCAGTGCTGAGTATTTAGAAGGACACAAGGATCTCTACAAGGACGTCATGATGGACAATCAGCCGCCCCTCACATCACCGGGTAAGAGGAGACTTTATTGTAAAGGAGAGAGCAGTACGGAGGATCCACCTAGATCCCCCATCATCTGATAAACACATAGAAACAATGGATTCAGTCAGTGTGTGTGTTTCCTACAGATGGATCCAGTTACGGGAACCCACCAGAGAGATGTCCCCGTCCTCTGTATTCCCGGGATTCCACACAGGAAGGTCACACCATCCCTCACCATCATCAGGTAGATGGGGAACAATCACTGATAGATAAGAATTATACAAAAGAGTCAGTATCTTCAAAATTCTGTGCAGCAGTTAAAAGGAAATCCAGAGGTTGCTGCTAGCAATAAACAAAAATTATTGTGTGTAAAAGAGGAAATTCTATCTGCTGCGCTAATGCTGTGGGAGTCTGGAGGTACTACATGTAAAAGTAATTTTTACCTACGATACACCTCCCTCAGCAATGTGTATTCAAATGTGCTCCATCACCAAATGCAGGTGTCGATAATGCCTGCCTATCTTCAACCTGTCTGTGTTGGTGCAATCTAATAAATAAAGTGCTATAATACACCTCCCTCTATAGGAGGAGGTATATATTTAATAATGTTTTGTTCCTTATAGTGATTACAATTGCCCCTAACCCATAAAAATAATAAAAAAGGATGGGGACTACAATACACCTCCCCCATTATTAATGTTACTCTAGAGTACAGTGTTTTGAACACCTATAAAACTGTTAGTGCAGACAAATTGAGTGATTTGAGAAACATACTGTAACGTACATGTGACATGATGTAACGTGCATGTGACATAAATGTACAGATTTGAGTAGATAAGATGTGATCAGTAGCAATATGTAATCGTAACTGTAGGGACATTCCATTGTCATTAAAGATGTATATTCAGTCAGAGGAACTCAGACACAGAGGCATCAATTAGAGGCTGAAAAGCCCGGCTTTCCGGAATGTGACACCTTTGTGTTAATAAGGTTGTCACCTTCTGGTGAAACCGGTTTAAAGGAAGTGGCTCGAGACATTTCGGCTTCATGAAAGCAGGGGGCTCGATCTGTCTGGGGGGAGCTAAAACGTATATCCATACATCAAAAGGGGTATGTTTCATCTCTCATAAAAGCTAAAATATTAGTTGCAGAGAGATGAACATACTCCCTTCTGTTTGGGCACTCTGTAGGCCACATCGACACCTAAAAATCATATTTGTGACTTAGGTAGAAGGCCAGGAAAATGCAGGAAATGGTTAGGTGGCGCTGGATCGCGACAGTCGAATGGTGTTTGGTACTGTCGTGATCGGGCCGATGTGCTGGTGTCGGAAATCCAATCCCAGACTTGGTGTTTCAAGCCGGTCTTAGTCCAATTGAAAAAACTTGGGCCGGTCAGCCCCCAGAACATCCTGTGGGCAGGTACAGGGGCAGCCCCCCATGGAGGTACAGGGGCAGCCCCCCATGGAGGTAAAGGGGCAGCCCCCCCCATGGTGTCAATTGGCTGAGGACTAATGACCCGCCTACGTCCATATCCCCATAAAAGGAGTACCCGGGCATTGTGACATTTGTGATTTGTATGGAGCCAGTTTTACTTGACTAACGCAGTGGTGGGCACTCCTTCCTTTTTTTTCAACTGAGCTAAATCTCGCCAAAACCACGATTGAAATTTATTTTGAGAGCCACATTTTTAAAACTGAAAATACATAGGATGGTACACTGTTTTTAGTTTCAATAAGTTTTTATAGCAGTTCATCCCCCATATAGTAATTCATCCCCCCATAGTAATTCATCCCCCATATAGTAATTCATCCCCCATATAGTAATTCATCCCCCATATAGTAATTCATCCCCCATAGTAATTCATCCCCATATAGTAATTCATCCCCCATATAGTAATTCATCCCCCATATAGTAATTCACCCCCCCTATAGTAATTCATCCCCCATAGTAATTCATCCCCCATATAGTAATTTCATCCCCCATATAGTAATTCATCCCCCCATAGTAATCAGGACATAGTAATTCATCCCCCCATAGTAATTCATCCCCCATATAGTAATTCATCCCCCATATAGTAATTCGGGTGATGAGGATCCCCCATATAGTAATTCATCCCCCATAGTAATTCATCCCCCATATAGTAATTCATCCCCCATATATAGTAATTCATCCCCCATATAGTAATTCATCCCCATAGTAATTCATCCCCCATTCGTAATTCATCCCCCATATAGTAATTCATCCCCCATAGTAATTCATCCCCCATATAGTAATTCATCCCCCATAGTAATTCATCCCCCACTAGTAATTCATCCCCCATATAGTAATTCATCCCCCATAGTAATTCATCCCCATATTGTAATTCATCCCCCATAGTAATTCATCCCCCATATAGTAATTCATCCCCCATATAGTAATTCATCCCCCATATTAATTCATCCCTCATATAGTAATTCATCCCCCATAGTAATTCATCCCCCATAGTAATTCATCCCCCATATAGTAACCGGGACTCATCCCCTATAGTAATTCATCCCCTATAGTAATTCATCCCCCATATAGTAATTCATCCCCCCTATAGTAATTAATCCCCCCTATAGTAATTCATCCCCCCTATAGTAATTCATCCCCCATATAGTAATTCATCCCCCATAGTAATTCATCCCCCCATAGTAATTTTATCCCCCATATAGTAATTCATCCCCCATATTAATTCATCCCCCATATTAGTAATTCATCCCCCATATTAATTCATCCCTCATATAGTAAGTAAGTAAGTAGCAAGTAGTAAGCCAAGTCCCCCTGTGTCAATTCACTTACCTTTGCTCCGCGCGTTCCTCTCGCCCCCGCGCCGTTCCGGTCTTCAGGGCGGACTGTGAGAGGAGCCTAGCTCCTCTCACGTTCGTCACGCTGCCCCTCCGCCTACACACATCCTGACAGCCAATCACTGGCTATCAGGATGTGAGTGGCAGCGAGACTGGCCAATCATTGCATTTGAGCGCGCTGCCCCTGGCTGTTTTTTTTTGGATCACGCTGCAGAGTCCCTGCCTCGCCCCCATTAGTCCGAGAGGAGGGAGGGGGAGCGGGCGCCCGGCACACAAGAGCCGCATTAAAACGTGTAAAGAGCTGCATGTGGCTCGCGAGCCACGGCTTGCCAACCACTGGACTAAACGGATTGCTGACGTTTGGGGTCGTTATGTTGGAATACTGCCCTGAGGCGCCCCAGTCTCTCCGAAGGGAGGGATCATGCTCTGCTTCAGTATGTCACAGTACATGTTGTGCATTCATGGTTCCCTCAATGAACTGTAGCCCCCCCCATGCCGGCAGCACTCATGCCAGCCCCAGACCAGGACACACTCCCACCCATGCTTGACTGTAGGCAAGACACAACTGTCTTTGTACTCCTCACCTGGTTGTCACCACACACGCTTGACACCATCTGAACCCAATCAGTTGATCTTGGTGTCATCAGACCACAGGGCATGTTCCAGTAATCCATGTCCTTAGTCTGCTTGTCTTCAGCAAACTGATTGCGGGCTTTCTTGTCCGTCATCTTTAGAAGAGGCTTCCTTCTGGGACGACAGCCATGCAGACCAATGTGATGCAGTGTGCGACGTATGGTCTGAGCACTGACAGGCTGATACCCCCCACCCCTTCAACCTCTGCAGCAATGCTGGCCCCACTGACAGGCTGACCCCCCACCCCTTCAACCTCTGCAGCAATGCTGGCAGCACTCATACGTCAGACTTTTTATATTTATATAGCAAAAAATAAATATCACCAAAAATAAAGCTTTATCTGTCTCAAAAAAATGCTAGAAAATTCATATGGGTACAGTGTTGCATGGCCGCACAATTGTCATTCAAAGTGTGATAGCGCTGAAAGCTGAAAATTGGCCTGGACAGGAAGGGGGTGAAAGTGCCCGGACTGGAAGGGGGGGGGTGAAAGTGTCCGGACTGGAAGGGGGGGTGGGAGTTCCAGGGTGTCCCACTGGAAGGGGGGGGGAAGTGTCCGAACTGGAAGGGGGTGGACTGGAAGGGGGGGGGGAAAGTCAGTCCGGACTGGAAGGGGGGGGAAAGTGTCCGGACTGGAAGGGGGAGAAAGGTCCCGACTGGAAGGGGGGGGGGAAAGTGTCCGGACTGGAAGGGGGGGGGAAAGTGTCCAGACTGGAAGTGGAAAGTTTGCAAAAAGTGCCATAATATATGGAATACATGTAATGTAAACACCAACACAGACAGGTTGAACATAGGCAGGCATTATCGACACCCGCATTTGGTGATGGAGCACATTTGAATACACATTGATGAGGGAGGTGTATTGTAGGTAAAAATGACTTTTACATGTAGTACCTCCAGACTCCCACAGCATTAGCGCAGCATATAGAATTTCCTTGTACAAAAGTGTGTTTGTTTCCAATAAATGTCTCGTGCTTTCAGAGTGGAATCCTCGGGGATTATAAAATTGTTGTCAAAGAAGAGTATTTAAAGAGGAGGATGAGGAGTATGGAGTGATGAAGCAGGTTTCTGAGAGACAGAACGCTCTCTACAAGGAGCCATCAAGTAACAGGAACCCACCAGAGAGATGTCCCCGTCCTCTGTATTCCACACAGGAAGGTCACACCATCCCTCACCATCATCAGGTAGATGAGGAACAATCACTGATAGTATTATTAGGATCTGTACATTATCTGCATTGTTACCATTGATGGCATTTATATTATCATTAGGATCTGTAAAATATCTTTATTATTACAATTTGTCATTTTTCTTGTATTTTCAGAGTGGAAACCTGAGAGATCCTAAAATTGAGATAAAGACAGAAGAAGAAGAGGCGTATGTGAGGGATGATCAGCAGTCTATGGAGGAGGATGGAATAACGGGGACATTTATAGAGGAGGACACTCCTACAGAGATCAGCACAGGTGGGTCATGAACACTAAATCCATTCCTCCACCCATACTGCTCACTGATTGGTCCAGAGTAGGGCGGGGACTGGGTGATATCAGCCTGTAATCCCCTGGTCACTTTCCTGAGCTGTGTTCCCCGTCCTGTATTCCTGGATTTCTCTCGGATAATCTTCCTTCTCTGTGCTGCAGACACAATTTATGTATCTAGACTGGATTTATGGAGATTTTGAGGTTCCACTGGCAGAAAAGTGTTGCTTTTTTCCCATAGGGCATTGCTCAACCTAGGCACCAGGGTTATGAGCCTTGAATCTCATGTCCAGGTCTAGCAAGATCTCTGTCAGAGCAATTCTGGGTTTCAGAGTTACTTTTTCTGTAGTCTGCTGGCTGTGCCGGGTGGAGGGATATGTCTGTATAGTCTCAGACCCAAGTCACTGAGTGCAGTCTCAGGAGATGGGAGGCAGCGGTGTGGGATCTCTGCAACTTGTCTCAGTTAAATAAACATTTAGGCTACCACTGATTGCTGAATGCCATTAATGTGAGCCCTGACCCTTATATGTTATCAATTATATTGCATGTTTCATACCCCTGACCCCTGCACTATATACTCTATGTTGTACATTACATACTCCTGATCCCTGCACTATATACTCTATTGTACATTACATACTCCTGACCCCTGCACTATATACTCTATGTTGTACATTACATACTCCTGATCCCTGCACTATATTTTCTGTGTGTACATTACATACTCCTGCACTTTATACTCTGTTGTACGTTACATACTCCTGACCCCTGCACTATATACTCTATGTCGTACATTCCATACTCCTGACCCCCTGCACTATATACTTTATGTTGTATATTATATACTCCTGACCCCTGCACTATATACTCTATGTTGTATATTATATACTCCTGACCCCTGCACTATACACTCTATGTTGTACATTACATCATTCTGATACAACAGTTAGGACTATATAGTATCTTCTACAATATGTTGTACATTACATAGTCCTGACTTCTGCTGTCTACCCTGCACCCATTGTTATATACACTGCTCAAAAAAAAAATTAAGGGAAGACTTTGTAATCAGAGTCTAGTATGAAGTCAATGAACCTTCCGGGATATTGATCTGGTCAGGTAAGTAGCAGAGGGGGTTGTTCATCAGCTTCAGCTGCTTTGGTGTTAATGAAATTAATAGGTGCACTAGATGGGCAACAATGAGACAACCCCCAAAACAGGAATGGTTTTACAGGTGGAGGCCACTGACATTTTTTCCCTACTGATCTTTTCTGATTGGTTTTCACTAGTTTTGCATTTGGCTAGGGTCAGTGTCACTACTGGTAGCATGAGGCCATACCTGGACCCTACAGAGGTTGTACAGGCAGTCCAACTCCTCCAGGGTGTCATTGCCAGAAGGTTTGCTGTGTCTCCCAGCACAGTCTCAAGATCATGGAGGAGATTCCAGGAGACAGGCAGTTCCTCTAGGAGAGCTGGACAGGACCGTAGAAGGTCCTTAACCCATCAGCAGGACCGGTATCTGCTCCTTTGTGCAAGGAGGAACAGGATGAGCTCTGCCAGAGCCCTACAAAATGTCCTCCAGCAGGCCACTGGTGTGAATGTCTCTGACCAAACAATCAGAAACAGACTTCATGAGGATGGCCTGAGGGCCCGACGTCCTCTAGTGGGCCCTGTGCTCACTGCCCGGCACCATAGAGCTGGATTGGCATTTGCCATTGAACACCAGAATTGGCAGGTCCACCACTGGCACCCTGTGCTGTTCACAGATGAGAGCAGGTCCCCCTGAGCACATGTGACAGACGTGAAAGGGTCTGGAGAAGCCGTGGAGAACGTTCTGCTGCTGTAACATCATTCAGCATGACTGTTTTGGTGGGGGGGTCAGTGATGGTCTGGGGAGGCATATCCATGGAGGGACGCACAGACCTCTACAGGTTACACAATAGCACCCTGACTGCCATTAGGTATGGGGATGAAATCCTTGGACCCATTGTCAGACCCTAAACAGGTGCAGTGGGTCCTGGGTCCTGGGTTCCTCCTGGTGCCGCCTGGTGGGTCCTGGGTTCCTCCTGGTGCACCTCCTGACAATGCCCGGCCTCATGTGGGGAGAGTATGAAGGAATTGATACCATTGAATGGCCCTCACACACTCGCCTGACCTAAATCCAATAGAACCCCTCTGGGATGTCATGTTTCGGTCCACCTGACGCCACCAGGTTGCACCTCAGACTGTCCAGGAGCTCAGTGATGTCCTGGTCCAGATCTGGGAGGAAATCCCCCAGGACACCATCCGTGGTCTCATTAGGAGCCTCCCCCAACATTGTCAGGCATGCATACAAGCACATGGGGGCCATACAAACTACTGAGGACCATTCTGAGTTGCTGCAATGACATTTCAGCACAATGGATTCGCCTGCTGCATCATTTTTTCACTTTGATTTTCAGGGTGTCTTTGAATTCAGTCCTCTGTAGGTCGATCATTTTCATTTCCATGAAACAATGGGGCGTCCTTACATTCCTAACACATTACCCGTCCATATCAGTATAGAGATCCGGCAGGAGATTCGTCCTCATTGAGATCTGATGGGTTTTCAAAGTGTTCCTTTATTTTTTTGAGCTGTGTATAAGCATAATATGTATTCTCTTTGGTTACACCCATTTCCTACCAGCTGGACATTTTATATCGGATGATGTGATTGGAGCACAGACTTTTACATGGTGATAATAATGTGATAACATCCTCCAACTTTGGACCCTTAAACTGAAAGTGATAATGAGGGAGGAGTCAATACCCCAATGATGGTGGTCTTCAGGATCAGTCCAGTCTTCATCTTGGTTGTTCTCCCCCCCCCCATCCTCACTCTCTGACCTCTGGTGGGGCTCAGCCCCGCTGTTCTTCATGACTAAATCATGGACTAAATAAGGAAGTGCAGTACTTCTTGTGTTGGGAAGATGGTGATGAGTGATAGAGGGGGTGGGGACCCTCGTCCTATAATCCCCTCATCACTGTCCCTCCTATAAAAGACAGTTCTGGTTGTTTCCTCACTCTCTGACTAAGGTCCATGAATAAAGAAATGACCTGGTAGGAGATCAGAGGAGCCATTTCCTAGTTCCCTTGAGGGTGGAATTGTAAGCTCCTCAGAGACCAAGCTGCCTGATGTGGGCGGAGTCCTGGTTTGGGGGAACCAATCAGCTCCTGTCTAGTAATCCTCTTTGTCTTTGTATTTTAGTCCATGGCCGGGAGATGAGGAAAACCTCAGAGGATTGTCTCACTTTGTCTCTTGACTGGAAAGTAGAAGATGAGGACATCACACAGTATAGTCCAGGAGAAAACCCGGCTCCCTCCAATGTCCATCCGGCACCACACAGTGTAGATGGACCATCGTATTCCTCTTCTCCTGCAGACCCTCAAACTTTGCGGGACCAAGCCGGCCTTCCAACAGGGAAGAGTTTCTCCTGTACTGAGTGCGGGAAATGTTTCAATTTTAAATCCAATCTTGATGTGCATAAAAGATCTCACACAGGTGAGAAGGAGTATTCATGTACTGAGTGCGGGAAATGTTTTCTAAAAACATCACAACTTGTCTCACATCAGAGGTCTCACACAGGGGAGAAGCCATTTTCCTGTTCTGAGTGCGGAAAATGTTTTTCGCAGAGGTCATATCTTTGCAGACATCAGAGATTGCACAGGGGAGAGAAGCCACATGCCTGTCCTGAGTGCGGGAAATGTTTTTCAAAAAAAAGGCAAATCTTTACACACATCAGAGATTGCACACAGGAGAGAAGCCGCATGCCTGCCCTGAATGCGGGAAATGTTTTTTCACAGATGTCCATTCTTTACAGACATCAGAGATTGCACACAGGTGAAAAACCGTATTCCTGTTCTGAGTGCGGGAAATGTTTTGTACAAAAATCACTACTTACAGCACATCAGAGGTCTCACACGGGGGAAAAGCCATATTCTTGTTCCGAGTGCGGAAAATGTTTTTTCAAGGAAGTCCAGTCTTTACTTACATCAGATATCTCACATAAGGGAGAAGAAACTTTTCTTCTCTGAGTGAGGGAAATGTTCCGCACTGAAGTCCTGTCTTCCTGTACATCGGGGTCCCACACAACCCTGGAGGTGCATTAGCACCTTTAGTGCGGGAAATGTCTTCTAGATGAATGTTGCTGGACATCCCAGCTCTCGTGGGGAAGAAGCACACCCTGATATACACCTCAGATATACTCCATGGCTGATCTTCATCATGGAAGAAACAGTTCATAAGGAGATCAGAGGTCACCAAAGACATGGATGAAGTGTGGGACCGGGTTGGCCATTGATAGCAGGAGAAGAATAAAAATGGAGTCATCACCTTTCATTGGCTGAGTACATTTTGTGGCGGAAGCTTTTGCAAAAGATTAACATTTGTTTTTTACTCATTCACACAGAAGGAACGTTTCACGGGCATATAATTTTTTTATGAATAGACCCCTAATTGTCAGGAAACGTTTCTATAACGATTGGGAGTATGTAGTCGTTCAATGAACCAACCTCCTGCAGGCTGCAGCTAGGGGGCGCTCTAGTTTCTAGAGTGTAACCCCAGGAGTGTGATTCCAGCTAGCTCCCATTAACCCTCTCACATGTTAAAATACAGATTTCGGGCCTGTTGATTGGCTAAAGCCCCCAAACATCTATTTCCTGAAAGCAGAGGCCCCGGAGAATAAAATGGTGGTCATGGTTAAGGTGTTCCTCGTACACAGATTTCACTTTCATACCCGGGAATATTTCCTCCTTTCCCCCATTTTCTATGTTGGGATCTTTTCTACAATACTTTGTTATAATAATGTACAGTGCCTTGAAAAAGTCTTCACACCCCTTGAAATTTCCCACATTTTGTCATGTTACAACCAAAGATGTCAATGTATTTTATCGGGATTGGATGTGATG